AAAAAATCTGGCCAGGCTCAGTGGTTCAGTCTGTAATCCCAGCACACTAGGAGGCCGAGGCCAGTGGATTGCCTGAGCCCGCGGGTTCGAAACCCGCCCGGGCAACTTGGTGAGACCTCATCTCTACAATACATCAAAAATTAGCTGGGCGTGGTAGGGTGGGCCTGTAATTCCGGCTACTTGGAAGGCTGAGGCGGAAGGATTGCCGGAGTCCAGCAGGGTGAGGCTGCGGTGGACGGGAGCGGGCTATTGCACTCCAGCCTGGGCGCCAGAGTGAGACTCCAGCTCAAAAATTAAAAAAAAATCTGGCTGTTCATGTGTATTGAGACTGTGTTTTTAACTACCATGCTTAGAGACTTGAATTAAAATGATATTAGGGGCAGCTCAGCCCATACTGGACTAAAGAAACTGAGGCAGGGTGGGGCACGCATGTTCCAAAACACACTTATGAAAAGCTTTCTTGCTTTGGCATCTCCAAGCCTTCAGGCAGCTTGCTAAGCCATGCCCAGCAAAGAGCCGCCCTCCCTGGGAAGCAGCACCTGGGAAGCAGGAGAGTCAGTGATGGATGCTCACTATTGTCAATTCCTAGCTTAAACCTGCTGGAGGAGAGGGAAGATCACACAACACAGCTTTCCTTGTAGGGCAGAGTCCCAACTTCTGTGGTAAGGCAGATCTGCCTCCACACACATTCTTTTCTCTCTTTTTTTGAGTCAGAGTCTCACTCTGTTGCCCAGGCTGGAGTGCAGTAGCATGTTCACGGCCACTGTAGCCTTGATCTGCAGGGCTCAGGCGATCCTTCCACCTCAGCCTTCCAAAGAGCTGGAACTACAGGTATGTGCCACCACGCCCAGCTAATTTTTTGACTTATTATAGAGATGAGGTCTTGCCAATTTGCCCAAGCTGATCTCAAACCCCTGGGCTCAGGCAATCCTCTCACCTTGGCCTTCCCAAGTGCTGGGATTATAGGCGTGAGCCACCGCACCTGGCCCACATTCTTTTCAAAGAAAACAAAGCTCCACCGTACCACCCAGCTGTAGGGTGCCTTGGCCAGAGCATCTCTATATTAGTGTCTATTGGTGGTTCTCCTCTGGTGTGTATCCCTCCCACATTCTAGGCTGCAGAGTGTTGGCTATAACTGCCTTCTCCCATGGGCATGTGACCTAGACCTGGTCAAACAGGGCATCACATCTCCCTGGACATACTGACTGGCTCAGGGAAGGGCAGTCTGGACAATCAGTGCTAACCCTGGGATTTTTGCTCAAGCATCCTGGGGAATGTTCCTCTTTTCAGCTGGGACTCTGTGCAAGCCTGAAGCCGTGGGTTGCCATGATGCTAACAGCCAAGAGATGGAGACCAGATTTTTCTATCACTTGAGCCTCCTGAATCTAACCGTTCCTGAAGTTTATTTATTTATTTTTAATATTTTAGCCTATTCAAATTGGATGTTTTATTACTTGCAACTTACTCCAAGAAGCCCAACTGACTAATAACCTATCCTGACCTGGGCCAGATAGAGCTCACACACAGGGGGTTCCCATGGGAACCAAAAGCTGGATAGGTTGAATACCAGCCTTTTCTTGTGCAGACCCTGCAAGTGAGGCGGGGTTGGCCCTGCCCCCAAAGCCAACCCAGGACCTTCCAGCAGGAAGTAAAGGGTCAGTTTATATAGCCCTTGGCCTTACTGTGATCTGAGAGTCCAAAGCCCCTACCAGAAGAAAGAACACTTTTTTTCTTGCTCCTTTAAAAGGTAAACATGAAATGTGTCTTGTTAACACTTTCCAAGATGTGATGCAAGGTGGCACATCCCTCAGTGTATTTTAATCTTTTATCACACCTCATGCCTCGTTGATACTTAGGAATAAGCAGTAGGCAGGTGAAGTTGTATATATCTAGGGTCTCACTCAGGGGATGGAAATATGGGAATACAGGCTGCTGGCGCTTGGCAGAGCCATAGTGAAGCCTAC